AGGGAGAATGCAGAAGAGCCAGAGCCCAGGAAAGCTGGACACTGGGTTTGGATGAGGTTTAATAAGTTGTTAAGGAAAAGTTTCTGGTTGTCCCAGGCCTCACTGCCCTTAGCCTATTTGCGAACAATGTCACACACACACACACACACACCCCTAAAGAATAATCATCCTCTCTTTAGACAGCCATAGCCAGGAGTTTTAATATTCAGCCTATTCTTGAAATATCCCCTTCTTACAGCTTGAATGTTGGCTCAAAGCATGTACTCCTGTGCAGCAGAGCTGAGTTAGGTTCCCAACACCCTGCTGGGCAGCAATAACTGCCAACTATAATCCCAGCTCTAGGGGATCTAATGTCTTCTTCTAGCCTCAATGGGCAACTGCACGCGTGCACATACCCCAGCACAGATATATATACACACATATGCATAACTAGCAATAATTCTTTAAAAAGAAATCATCCCTCCTTGTCACACACAGGGATCGGGATGCATAATCTTAGAAGTTGGCAACGGCAGTCTGAGGAAACCATGGAGCCTCCAGGGCATTTACAGCAACACATAGTCTCAAGGTGAAAAAAAAATGGATGTCGGTATCAAAAAGCCAAGTCTGCGTGTCATACCAGTTAGAAAAAGCAAGTAAACAACCTGACAGCTAGCTAGACAGAGCGAGGGCACACTGCCAAACCGAAAACCTCTGTCCCGAGACCGCCCAACTCTCCTCCTCCGCAAGTCTGACTCACAGTTCCTTGGGTCATTGGATGTTCAAGACATAAAGTTATTAAGGGAAAGGGATCAGTCCTCCATGCACTTGTCATTGGCATCCACGGTGCTCTAGGTGACATGAGTGTAATGACTACAGACAGACAGCAGTCCTGCCTCACAGTCCCTGAAGCCAGAGAAGGGTGCATTAACTATCTCCTTATCTAAGACCTTGGAGCCCACAGAACAACTCCAACTCTTCTCCTCACACCCTTAAAGCCTTGTGGTACATCGTCACATACTCATTTCCAAGGCACCTTCATATTCCAAAGACAATGGATCTGTACAATGTGAGGTGAAATCTCAACCTGACCCTCACAAGAACATCCTCCTAGCAAAGGGCTTTCACACAGCTTCCCCCCAGTGCCACTTGAAGGACCATTCTGATGCCAGGGAAGCAAGGTCTCTCCAGTAGAGCCTGTCTGCCCTGTTTCCCTTCCATTCTTTCCCACAGTACAGCAGACTGTAGCTCTGTTCTGTGTGTTCTGTCTACTGATTTCTACCCATAGTCCCCTGCTGCCCTTCTCTGCCTAGTAGCTCTCCAGGTAAGGATTCCCAACAAGCACACAGAGCACGATAGCTCAATCTCTTTCTTCCAGTCATTAAAAATAAATTCAGTGGTAGCCAGATTTAGAACCCCATGAAAAAGTTACAGCATTAGAGGGAGCCCACCTACACATCTCTCCATTCAGAGGTACTATTCAACAGTTGCTGTGAAGTTTATAATTAACCTACTAGCTTAAAGTGGAACAGAAATTTCTGGACTCTCTTTTAATTTACCCAGGAGTCTGGCTTACCACAAAGTCACATCCCAAGTAGTACCAGCTCCCCTTGCTGACTCCAAAGGCCTTTTTGGTACTGCTCTCTGGTTTTCTGCAATCACCCAGCCTTGGCTGGGGCAGGTGCTGGCCTTAATCTGGGTACAAGCAAACAAAGGGTTGTTCTGCACTTCCACTTTCTTGCCCACTTACTTCCAGAGGCTCAACAGTTCCCACTAACTCATGGAACTGTGTCCAGAGGCTCATGGAACTGTGTCCAGAGGCTCTCTAGAGACAGGTGAGACTGCACTCCTACCCATTACAGTGTCTGAATGACAGCTGCCATTATTGTGCCACCAAGTGTGTTCCTTCTCCTATCTGCTGCCACTCTGGGCTTTAAGGCAAAAACACGGAGAGAGATGTGAGCACCTCTGAGAGAAGCACCTGCCAGACACAGGGCAGTGAAAAATGATGTGGGCAGTTCAAAGCTGTAATCTAGCCCTTGGGAGGCAGAGACAGAACAGTTGTTTAAGGTCATGTTTGACCTTTCACATAAAGTTTAAATCTAGCCTGGGCTACATGAGAATATGTATCAAAAACAAACACTCTCTGCCCTCCCCCCTCCAAAAAATCTACAATACCAGAACAAGAAGTCTCATCCCTTAAAAGAAAATGGATCTGAAGCTCAGAAAGAATCCTGTCTAGGACTACATTTACTTCCTGATAGTAAAAAGATCAGACCAGTCCTCAGGCTCTCAGCTAAATTACTTAGCCTTGTAATTTCAGAGAAAGGTCATTGTTTCCCATCTGCTAAAGAGAGCTACAAGGAGCATGATTCTACCTGCTGGAGACACAGGGAGATACTACATTAAACAACTGAGAAACTACCTTCAGAACGGATGCACAGGTCTCACAGGGCTGACCAGTACCTGTACTATGTTGCCTGTCTTGAAATCCTCCACAAAATTGTACTTTGACGTCCAGATGTGTGCCGTAAGTGCCTGAATGCACAGGCGAGCGTGAGCACACACGCACATGCGCGCACACACACACACGCCCACTCACATAGTAAAAAAAAAAAAAAAAAATCACTAGAGTGAGGTGACTCCAAGCCACCAATTACTATCTGAACATCAATATTCCCTATGAAAGGCAGGCTGTGAGCTGTCACACACCCCGTAGGCATTCATCAATAGACAGTGCCTCTCACCTGAAGAAACAGGATGTTAATATGACTCAGTGAGTTGTAAAAGAAGACAGGAAAAGATGCTAGGTTTTAATGTTTTCCACTGAGATATCCATCAGTAAAAAACAGAAATTTCCTGCTATATTATACTAATGGTAAAACAGATAATATGACTTGCTCATTTATTAATTATTGACACTTTTCACTGATAGTATTTTACTGCACAAAACAAGCCCTGAGTACTTTGCATATTTGATGCATTGTATACAAGGACACTGGTGGATAGGTGAGCCTACAAACCCATCCCAAAATCCAAGAATCAGGGCAACGTGTTAGGAAAGCTGTGATAACAGCCACATGAGCACACTGTGGGCACTGTCCAAGTAGGAACGTGGTGGCAGACAATGAACCGGAGGAAGCCTTCTAAGAACACTCATACCCTTCATAATTGACGGCAGAGGGCACAGTTTCACAGTGCCCAGGCTGATCTGCCACTGCTTTATAGATGAGTGCTGCCTTGAAGTGTGGGGCCTCTTGCCCCTACCTCTCAAGTGCTAAGACCACAAGTATTCGCCATTAAACCCCACATACATTCTGTCTAAAACCAATCCTGTAGTCTGTTATTTTCAAATGTTCAACACAAAGTCTCAGTTATAAATTAAGTCTGACATTTAGGCAGGGCAACACAGGGGCCCAGACACATGCCACAGGGTAAGGTAAATGAGGAGGAAACAATATGAATCAGGTCCCATGATACAATTTCCTTAACGAACACAGATGGGTGCTCCTGACCCTGCAGTCCCACAGGTGCTGGTGTTAACAGAACACCACCCCTGGCCTTTTCTTTTAAAAGAAAATTGTGTGCATTCATGTTTGTCTGTGTGATTATATGCCACATGTGTGCCTAGTGAACACTGGGAACAGAAAAGAGTACTAGATCCTCTAGAGCTGGAGTTACAGGATGTTCTGAGCCATCAGACCAGGGGACTAGAAAAAGTAGTGATTATCAACCACCACACCATCTCTCCTGCCCTGGTGACTGCTCTTTCATGAAGCTTCCATGTCTACATTTGATCTGGACTGAGTGAAGGAGCAAGAAGGAGCAAAGAAACTGGCTCCCAAGTGTGCTAGGTTATGAACTTCAAGCACAGTCAAGGAAGCTTGCCTCAGCACCACCTCTCTAAGGTCTACACTGAAAGCCCACTGAGGCTCAAACTTAGGTTCTATAATGATAAAGTAAGGAGAAAAATATGTAGACTATCAGGAATTAAAAGGTGCACTGGCTGTCAGAAATCAATGAAAAGTATGGATGTAAGAACCCTGATGAGTTCTTGTCTTTCTGCTTAGCCTTTCCTTCCCCCACTATTACCAAGTCTCAGCACAGCACTAGTGCACCTGTCCACCCACAACCCAGCGTACACTCAGTACTCGGCAACACACACACACACATACCTGCCACCCACCCCCTTGGGTACAGTCAGTATTAGGACTCTGTCTCACACACACACAGACACACACACACAGACACACACAAAAGTACCTGCCACCCACACCCTGGGGTGCACTCAGTATTAGGTCTCTCTCTCTCTCTCTCTCTCTCTCTCTCTCTCTCTCTCTCTCTCT